CTATCAACTCAGGGTTGTGTTTAATGTTCACTCCTGCTTATATACTGAAGATACAACCTAGCGGTCACAGTGTTAACACTCCCCAATATCTATTACAATTAGTTTTTGATTAAGAAGCCTAGCATGGCTTTTGAAGCCTTTTATGTTGTGTCAAATGGCTAGTGATGGAGTGAGATGCACAGACACCTCCCAGTAACAAAGCATCTTGTAAAAGGTTTCAAGTGAACTATTTTATCATCCTAATGGAAACCAGATGACTCTAACTCCCCCTTTAATTTCAACTATTTACTGAAGAGTCCTTGTTTTGAATTACTTAAAGATTTATTCCAAACCACTATCTCATGCATTAAGAATCACTAATAACAAAGCCATTCTGAGCGGAGCAAAGCTTTTAAAGAATGTGACTATGCCATTGCATTTATTCTTAAGTTTAAACCGTGTTTTTTAATGGCTTTCACATTTTTATATCTCAGTATTTTTTTTTCATTTTATTTATTTATTTTTTTTTCCTTGAAATCCCAAACACATTTTTCTCCATTCATTTCTAGCCTGTGCTGCAGTTTCCTGCCCTGCTGACAGGGACTGAAGGCTGGAGCTTGGATGGTGGAACTGAACCTATGCATGTGTTCCTTCCTCCCATCCTCTGGAGAGCGTCTATTTTGAATCTCCTGGGTGGGTTTAGCACAAGAAGGAGTGCCAAATTAAGGCCTTTGGGACAAATTGTGTCCACCATGCACAGCTTCATTATTTCTGCTGAGCAGTAAAATTTTCAGGGGACAAAAGTGTCGCTTCACATTAACTGTTGTGGCCTGATGGCTGGATACGCCCCAGCTCGGCCACTCTCCCTTGGAAAAACAGGAGGACCAGGGGGAAATCTGCTGCTTTGCCCTTGCCCACTATCTTTGTCAGGCTCATCCCTTCCTCCCAGCCACATCTCTCCCTGCATTGCTGTAGAAGGAGCCCTGAAATCACCGGGATTAACTGGATTAGCGGTGCAAAGCAAGTCTCCTTTCTCTGCTGCTGCAGTATCTGCTGCCTGGGGTACAGACCTCCCCATTTCCGTGGAGCCTTGCAGAGACACAGAAATTGCTCTTAATGAGCACAGCCATGAGCTGGTTTTCATCCCAAAATGTGACACTGTTATTTACATCTGTCAGTATTTTACAGAGCTCTCCTGCTCCCTGTGGACACTGTCTTCTAAGATGTTTCAGGCAACGCAGCTGCAACGTTCTTTTGCCAAAATGCCCTTTTGACTCAGAGTGTAAAGTTCTTCAGTATATATTTTAGTGGCATTAAAAGGATTAAAGAATGGCATAGTTAATTAAAGATAGATTTTTATTTTTCCCCTAGTAAATTTATGAGAAAAATGTTAAGGAAGAGCAAGGTGGAGAAATACAGCTGTCCAGGAATAAGAATAGGCTGTATAATAAATTGTAGCTGTTAGGTGTCTTCAGAAACTTAGCTGTATTGAATAAGGAATTTGGACAAATAGAAGATTGACCTATTTTAAAAACATTAAACAGACTTTTGTTGCAATGAACGTCAATAACTATTGACCTTTTGTGATCATGAGTCTTCTGAGGCACAAAAACAGTTAACAAATCAGACACCCACTCCAAATGGAGAGCTTTTCATCCTTCACAGAGATTTCTACTGTGTGATCATGCATTTTCAAATCTAGATCAAATCTAGAGGCCCTCAGTACTGGCTTTGCATGTGCTGGTCTTTGGACAGAACTAGAGTTCATGGCATGAGCAAAGGGAGGGAGTGAAGTGCTTTAGGTGGGGTTGAACCTCAGGTCACACAAGGGCATGCAGTGATAGGACGAAGGGGAATGGCTTTAAACTCAAACAGGACAGGTTTAGATTAGATATTAGGAAGAAATTCTTCACTATGAGAGTGGTGAGGCCCTGGCACAGATTGCCCAGAGAGGCTGTAAACAACCCATCCCTGGAAATGTTCAAGGCCAGGTTGGATGGGGCTTGGAGCAACTTGGTCTAGTGGAAGGTGTCCCTGTCCATGGCAGGGAGTTGGAACCAGATAATCTTTAAGATCCCTTCTAACCCAAACCAATCTATGATTCTATGTTATCAAACAGGATACCATATAGTTGTCTGAATCCTAAAAACATCAAGGAAAAGGATGTATCTACAGCTCGTCTCCTGTTATTCTACCATAACAAGAAATGTTTTTACAGTAGTAGATAAAACAGGTATTAGTTAATAACTCACTATCATTAACTAGATTTCAGAATAATGAAGTATATTTCATTTGAGGAACAGGGAACAGGAACCACAAAATAAAATGGTCATATGTTGATGAGATGATAGAAAAGTTGTTAATTCTCAGTTCTTCAGCCAAGTTATTAGTCTGAGTTGCATTTTAAAACTGAGACTGCCTGTAAACTGTATGAACACATAAATACTTTTGCATTTGTAAAATATGTATGCTGGCACACAGAGATGGTAACTTCTGCATATCATTAATAAAACTTTAATAAATTACATTTTGGTAAAAGTCAAGGAGAAAGTCTCTTCCCCTGCCAGCATAGCATGAATTTTGTGTTATGTCTGCAGGCCCACAGTGGACTCTTGGCTCTCCAAGTCCATCATCAGAAACCCTTTCCATTAAGTATTCCATCTACTTTTCTTTGACAGGCCTGAAATGTCCTCTGCTTTCTGACTGTACCTTTTAGAGACTTCTGCAGTTTTACTCAATGTTCAGATAACACTGTTTTACTTAATATTCAAAAGGAGTATTGTTTTTAAATACTAGAGAAGTGTAATATTTATCCATAGAAATACTTTTCTACAGTTCCTCATAGTGTGAGTACCATGATGATTATTGTTGAAGAACTGGAAATTCCACTACTTTCTACCATACAGCTCTATATGCTTTGAATAACTTTTAGTTAAAATAATAATTAAAAGAAAGAAGCAAATTGATTTGTGTCCACTGAAGTGTGCATGATGAAAACATGACAGGAGAGATGCAATTAGTCTTAGATCTGGCTGCCTTTATTTCCCAACCTGAACAACCAGGGACCTGTTTACAGCGAAGTTAACTAAGACTAATTGTGGACCTAAAAGCCAGACCTGGCTTCATGGTAATTTTGGTATTGGTCTGGGATAAACAGAGAGGGCTGCACAGGGAAGCTGCTGTTGAGCTGACAAACCAAAAGGAACTGAGAAAAAAAAAAATCTCAATTTTTAGGATGTAGGAGAGAAATGCTGAGGATTTTTACTTTAGGGAAAAAATCTTGGCAAAACTTTTACCTTTGGCAATTTAAAGTATATTTTGCTCAGAATCAACAAGCAGCTCTACTGATTGGTGATGGAATATTAAAGCCAAATATTCATGTATTTTAATGTCTTTTGATAATGAACAAAGGAACCAGCAATGTATTTGAGGATGAAACCAATTCTTTAAATATTTCATATTCTACAGGGTTGTCAACAGGACAGCATCAGTCTGAGAATCAATTGCAGAATGAACAGATGTGCAATACCTTTTCCAGTGATTCAAATAAATTTGCTCTCCATGAGTTAAAAAATAGTTTGTTCATAAGTTGAGAGAGAGAAGAAAAAATGAGAAATGAATGCCTCAAAATTCAAGCTCCTCTAGCTTTAACTTTTAGATGCTTTTAAAATATTGGTCCTTGCCCTTTCCAAAGTTATTTCTATTAGCTATTTTCCTAAGTTTGCTATAAACTGCCAGTTTCCCTCTCTGTTAATTATTAATATGACCTGTTTATGTACCAGTTATCCAGCTAACCATTAATGTCTGTTTACTCATTGATGACCTTTGCAACTACATGCCAGGCACTTGGCCAGTAAATGTCAACATTTTTTAATAACCTAAAAAATACTCTTCATACCTTATCTACCTAAAATTTTTTTGAAGTGAAAAACAAAAGTTAAACACCACTTACAATTCACAGACATTTGTATAAGGTGGTTTCAATCAAATGGCACAGTGAAAGTAAAAGAAAAAAGAAATTACTGATATTCTCTGCTTGTGGTTTTGTTTTAAAATACATAACAACAGGAAAAAGTACAGGTACAGCATGCAAGCATAATAAAATGCTTTTCAAAAATAATTACAGTAAGTTAATCTTCATTGTTTTTTTCCTCAGGATTTCAGTATTGACATGAACACAAGTAAAATATTTCTTCCATGTGTTCTGCCAAGAGCTGAAGGCCACAGTGGGGACACAATTGCATTAAACCTGAAAGTGGTGACACTAATTTTTACCCATGATAACAAACTCTATGTATACTTTTGCTCACTAAATGCACCTAATTTAAAAAGACAAGCAGTAGCCCAGGATGACAAAGAATATGAGGGCACTTCCCTCCCAAACTGGTGCGTAGGATGGCCTCATACAATCTGCCATGGAGATAAGTGGAACAGGCATGTTTCTTTTTCCTTGGTCCACTAACACCCTTTTCTCACAAAAGCCTTGAAATATTGTCTCTGTGATTACAATTTGCAGGTTAAAAATTGGCTTCCTATTGAAATATTTTCAAATATTAGCATCATCCCAACCATAAGTAATGGTGATGGCATTTACAGAGATTGCAGCTTTTATATATACATAGGTATATGTTCACATTTTCTCATTCATTGGAGTTCTAACTTCAGTAAAAATTAGGTTTCTTTCTTTTTTTTTAGTTACAGCCTTGAACACTTGCTGTGACTGTCACTTTATGGTGAATTTATCGTGCAGCACGTAAGTTGTGAGGCTGAGGAGCAATCTGTCATAAGCCATTGTATCAATAATCTCTGAAGGGGTTTGTTTCGGTCCTGGGTGGGAGGTAAGCTTTCTAGATTTGTACCCTCAGTTACAGAGACAATTTGGGCTCAATAGGATTGTTTCAAAGGGATTTGTCTAGGCTGTAACACATTTACTTAAGCACTGTGCTTTTGTACAGGATGGTTATACAGTACTTCAAGCATATAAATGCCTTTCAGGTTTTCTGTACTGAATGATAACTCACCTTGTCTTTCTCGGTGAGGTAGGCAATAAATAGAAATCTGGACTATAACTGAGACATTCTGACTTAGTTAGATCTTCTGGTGTCCTGAAAAAGACAAGTAGACTCAATTACCATGCCAGAAACTACATAAAGATTGTCAAATTAAATCCAAAAACCTATGTTTAAATAACGGTATGACAAAACCTGAAGAAAGGCAAGAATATCAAGCTCTTCTGACATTTTGACCTGAAGTTACAGCACTGTGGAAACAAAGAAAAATATTCTTTAAAACGTGCATTATTAGCTTGAAAGACTGAGGGGCAGGACTTGGTCAAATCCATCTTAAGCCTAGAGATATGGACAAGTGGAGCTGCAGCCATTAATCCACACTGTGTTACTGCTTTTTGTTGTGATAATCCCATGGTTTATTTGTTAAGCATGTAAATACAATGCTAAAAGGGAAAAATAATACTATGCTACACTTTCTCCAGAGTGTTTTCCACCAGCACCTTAATTAAGTCACTGAGAGCCTTGTGAGTTGGATAAGTGTTATACTGAATTAGCGTCACCCACGGCTGGTGGGGAGTTATCCCAAGGTTCAGGCACAACAGCTGTCTAATGGTGTACAGTGACACCACACACCAGGGTAGAAGCCGAGGAAGCAATCCACATCCGATTGGAACTGCGGGGAGACCTGGGAGAGAATTTAATTATTTCTGTTGGAACTTCTTCAGAACGTTGGCTCGGCACCCCAGCCTCGCAGAGCGCGGCGCGGGGACTTTAATGAGCTGCAGTTGTGGAGGGGAGGCTTTCTTTGAGATACCACTGAAAGACAACAACTCAGCACACCTCAGCACCAAGCTGGAAAATGAATCCAGTGCCGACTCAAGAGGACAGCGCACAAACCAGGATCGTCAGCACCGTTCCTTGCGGTAACTAGGGCTTCCTTGGAGGTGTCTCAGCCAAGACTAACCTAACTCGACACATTTTAGCTTGTGAGGCAAGGGACAAGGCTCACATGTAATGCTCCTGTGGGAAGTGGTGTTCTCTGTTCATCTGCTTTTATGTGCAATACAACATGGTTAATCAGGGCTTTCCCTCCTCCTCCCCCACCAAGATGTTTATTATTTATAGGGAGCTGTTTAAATTTTCCAGATAAATACGTATTCAGAGTCTTTCCAAACTATGTAATGTGCTCTATAGATCAGAGCAACTCCATTTAAAATTGTTTTTTAAAAACACGGGTTATAATTTGATAGACTGGAACAGCTCTATTGGTTTCATAGATAGCTGGGCATTTATTTTCCACTATAAAGATCATAATATTTACCCAATGGACCAGAACAGCTCCTTCTTAGCCTTTACTCCCTCTATTATGCCACAATTATTTAAATACGGATTCTGCTTGCATTAGTTATTTCGTACCCAAGTGGATGGGGATCACCTGGGTGAGTGAGTAAAGGAGGCAGGGGTTGTCTCATACAACCCATCATCTTCTGAAACACTGGCTGCAGATCTAGAGATAATAGGAAGAGATTAAGAACCGATTGCTATTTTTATTTATAATGCATCGCTCGGTTCTCCATCCAGTTCAGTGTGAGAGCAGGTTATTCAGCCATGAGTTCTGTGCATTGCAGGTGGGAGATATTTTAAATGCCTACATGCTGACAAGGTGAGTGGTTAGGGCATGATTTTGTTATATACATATAAGCGTGTGTATATATGAAAGCACAAGAATAATTTCTTATTATTATTACTTTCCTGCTTTATTTTTGTGTGACCTCAGAAGGCAGGAGCATAAATCCATACTGCAGCACTATTTTGTTATTTATTTTTGTAGAGCCAGCAGAGTGCTTGATACCATAAGGACTTCAGCAGAGGAGATACATGTTCAGAAGCACTTCCCGATGGTATAAAGTAGATGTTACTGCTGCAGTGATTTCCTCATGTGTGGGCAGTGCTACCTCAGACTTTCAAAAACCTGGGGATTGGTTTACCCACCAAGGAAAATTAGCAGCTGTCAGTGTCATCTGTGAACATTGGCTTAGGGTTTCCTAATGTTAAATGATGGTCATTTACAGACATTTTACATGTCCTTTTATAACACTTAATTCCCATATTAAAAGTAACATTTTATCTGCATCATATTCCCTTATTTTTCATCAGGCCTTATTCTTCTTTTCATTCCTCTTCATATTTTTGTTTCACAATGAATTACTACAGAGAGTCAAATGTGGTTATTATGGAACTAAGAACAATACATATCCAAGCCATTTTAACTTGTGCTGAAAGATATGATCCATCAGGGAACACCCTTCTCTAATTTATTTTTCCAGACTTTGTGTCTCCCTATGCCAGTACGTCCTCACAGCTCTCAATATGTAGCCACAGAAGCAGAGGTAGGCACCATATTTGGTGTGTATGATTTTCTTTATTTAAGAGGTTCACCAAAGATGGTGCATGGTATGATTGTATTTTCACCTACACATGATGATGGCTGAATTGCAGGATGACTAAACTTTTTTTCCCCACACATTATATGTTCCATCCATCTCTGTGGTTCCTTTCTCTCACAGCCCCTTTCTTCAAAGAAAATGCCCTGTCAGCAAGTTCTCAGTCCTCTGTCATGTTCTGCTCGTGCCTCCCCATGGTCAGCTGGTTCAGTTCCAGCTCCACTACAGGCCTCCAAAAACACAAAATATTTTCTTTCTCCCAGAAAGCTAATTCTGATTTATGACCCAGATGAGCAATTCAAAATGCATATGAACAGTGAAACATAGTTTGGGTTTTGAAGCTACGCTGAGTTACAAGAACTGAAATCTCCTGAAGTTCTGCAACTGTCTAGTGTGGGGTTTGAGCCAAAGGTATTCTCTGAACTAAACTACTTAAACAAAAATTTTTTCTGATCGAAAAAGGCATGGATGAATGTCAAATATTTGAGCTGCAGAGGTGTGCAGATAATTACAGGGGTGGTTACATGGTCAGTTTGGTCATAGGCTGCTGATAAAAGGCAGTTCTGGCCTTAGTTACATACTCTTGCAATTTAATTCATATTTACACCCAGTATCTGGCCAGGTTGACCTGACTGAGAGCTCCTGTCTTTTCTACACTCAGTAAGGCTGGCTTGCAGATTGTCCAGTGACCTGACCCTGCTGGGTGTGCATTCACACAATTGCCAGCAGCATTACAATGGGAATTTCAGGGACATGCAACCCACAGTGAAGATGAAGATGAGACTGGCAGCAACTTGAGCACCAGCAAAAAGCCTCTATCTGGGCTGTTTTGACCAGGACAGCACTAGAGTCATGGAAGTTGGGCCCATCCATTAATGTCTGTCTAAACAGGGTCATTGCAGGGTCTGTTGGAGGGATCTAATTAGAGGTCTGTTTTTTCTTTAAAAGTCCTTGCCTAGTATTTCCCTTACTTTTCCAAACACCCTGAAGTAGACAATACATCACAATGAGGTCAAAGCAGAGGAAAGGGGAAAAAATGATTCCCAGCAGCCTCAAAACAATGACAGTTTTCATTTATTATCTAGAAGTCATGTGAGTTTTAAAGTCACCAATCATCATCAAGAGAAGAATGGAGCTAGATGCTTGACAAGGAAGATGCTGTCTGCAGCAGCATAATATTCAATTTACTGCCAAGGCTACTGTCTTCTGAAGCAATAGGAGGATAAGTGAAATAATTGATTTCTTACCTCAGAGGTAACATGGCATAGAATTACTCTAGCTATGTTCATTCTCTTTTTTTAAAGCAACTTTCTGGATTGTATTTTAGTCCTTGAAAAAGTAGAAGTTCTTAAGGCTGTCTTGGAGCCCTTCTGTGAAAAAAAATCTTTCTTACTATGTCAAGGGTGCAAAGAAAAACCTGAAATACATGCCTACCAAAACCCAGGTTATGTTGTCTGCCTCATAGAGCAAACATCCTGCAACAAAATCTAGACTGCCCCTTTGCCATTAGTCGTATCCTGCCCTGAGAGCAGCATGTTCTTGTTGAAGCTTTGGGTGGAGGTTCTTGCAGAATGAGCTGAGGGCATCGGATTTCCTTAACATGACCCTGCCCCATTCCTGTGCCTATATATTGTCTATTTAGGGAAACATTCCACTGTCCTTGCTCACGCTGAGCAGCTCTGTAGATATAAATCATCCTGCTGTGGAAACAGGCACAATTCAGTGTGACTAACGGAGCCTTCTGTGCTGATGAACATTAATGGATGTGGCATCATACATCCTTGTAGAGCTGAAATCAGTGGGACTGCTCATGGAGTAAAGTGCTACTCACCGTGAGTAAATGCAGCAACGTGTCACCTATGGATAAGTAAACCTATTTGGGATAGGAATCTGCCAAATGACAGAAAAGCACTTTACAGGGCTTAATGAAGTCTTAACTTATATGTTTATGTCCATAATCACACTTCACTGTTGGAAAGAGCTGTAAGAATGGTAAGCCAACAAAATACATAGGTACAATAGTATTATCTTACAGTGTGGGACTGTGTCTCTTGAAGTAATTCTCAAACATGTTCAATAAGGGGTAGTTTTTAATGCTCAGCAAGTGGTTAAATTTGACAAACTTAAATATTTTCCAAAACAATTTGTATTTATTAATGGCTACTGCAAAATCCATTTACCCATAATCAAGTGAAACTTGAAGGTGCTGCCTTTCTTAAGTGCCGACAGTCAACAATATGAAAGTAAATAGTGGAGGACATTCCAAGATAGTATTAACACAATTGATTTATTGATGATTGCACAATGGGAGGTTATCTTTTGTTAATTGACTCTGTAAATAAGCTCATGGGCGTCTCAAGCGGAGAAAAAAAAATCTATTGCTACCAGAAAGTCAACAAGGTGAGTTGGCTGTGCCACTCCATAAAGTGTCTGCTCTACTGTGAAACTGGGTAGTGGCTGAGAGGCATTTCTGGCAACAAAACCCAGCAGGTGCTCATGCATACATGTTAAGGGACACTCAGAATGTTGTCAGCTTGGACTATCCTGGATGTGAAGAAGAAGACAAAAATGGAAAAAGGAGGAACTATCCTGGAGCTCACAGATATATTTACAATTAGATGTCCAGATCTGATCTTATTCGTATTATTTGAT